AAAGAGTTCTATTGGCGAAGAAAGATAAAGACTATTGGGGCTTGAGCCACCAAATCAGCCAAAATCCTTCAAAATAATTGAAATTTCGTAGCGATTTTTACCCCTTACACTCACTTAATCTTGTTAGGTATAGGTTGCTTCCTTCTGCAATTGGAGGTCCTTTATTGTGGGTTGGATATGATATTTTGCCTCAACGAGGGTAAAATTACTAACTTAACCCCAAGCTAAAGTTTTCATACTATGCAGGCTTAATACTTATATATACGAATCAAGAAATCAATATAAAATTAAAACAAAATTAATTAATTTAAGTTTAGTAATAACGAGATCAAATGATAAACCAGTAGACTGTTAAGACTTGTTAGATAAAATAGGTTAATATGAATAGGGGTGGTAGGCAATCCTATCGTGTTCGTGTTTGTATCCGTGTCGTGTTATTTCGAGTTCGTGTCAAGGAATAGTCAATCCTAACCTAACCTGTTTAATTAATTGTGTTGAGTCAAGTCAATCTATTTATATTTTTGTTGTGTTTGTGTTGACGCATTTAACCCTTGAATAAAAAATTTAACACTTGAATAAAAAATTTAACACTCAAATTTAGTTTAAAATATAATTGTCATTTAATTGAATCTATGCTCATATTTTTTTTATAAATTAAAAATTAAATTAATAAATATAATAATAAAAATAAGTAAAAATATCTTTTTTTTGTACAATAATTATGTCACTAATTGATAAAATATAAAAAAAATTAATATTTTATTTTTATAATACTAATTAAATGTGTTATTTGTGTCAATTTCATATTATTAGTGTTTGGTACTACCAGATCCATTTATTATTTATATTAACAGGTTATATCATTTACAGGTTCATGTCGAAAAATGATAAATTATAATCCACTAAATATAATTTATATACAATATAAATTCAAAATATTATATAATAATATAATTTAAATAATATAAACTCGATTCAACAAGATTCATAACAGCCGAAGCATGGATTACGGTGAGATAAAAAAGGATGCCGTTGACCGATTCCCGTGAAAAGACACACACATTGGAAGGCAGCATAATAATGAAATATTCCCTAGAAAAAATCATACCTTCTAATTCTGCAGGCTTTGTATTTGCCGGTGGCCTAACGACTTCCCTTGTTTGTAATACTCGTTCAACTATAATATCAAAGAAAAATAATTTTTTAATATTTTATTTTTATTTAATAAAAATGTACACAATTTTTGAGTTTCACCATTTTACATTAATTTATGATTAATTAAAAGATCAATAACTATGAGTAAATTAAACAAAAATTATGATTAGAAATTTGGGAAAAAGTCTAGTTTTTTTTTTGTTTTATACTGTTATTAAAAATATTGTGGTTTATTTTTATAATTTTTAACGGTTATTTATAAATTTTGCAGATTATTTATAACATTTGAGAATTATTTACAATATGTCCTAAAATTTATAATATGACCTCAAAAATTATAATTTTTTTTTGTCATAAACAGACCTAAAGCTTGTATCTCAATTAACAAAATTTGTAAACATTGATAGTAAGGTACCCAAATTCTTGTAATCTTTTCCGAAATTACGATATTAAAAGTTTTTGTGACCATTTTTTCTTTTTGAGCCATAGTTATGGACTTGGGATAATCAAGCCAATCACTCACCAAAAATAAATTAAAAATTCAAACCCTGCAATAATATTTAATTCATGAGAATTATTATCGTAACCAAATTCGAACCCGTGACCAGAGAGATGCAGAAGTTTCACTCTCATTTCTCCCTATTTAGTAGAGTAGGACCCACTTTAATCCTTGAAAAGGCATGTGACTCGGGCCACGTTGAGCCCCTGATTTGATTGGACTCATCGATTTCCGTTTTTGGTCAGATACGTGAAAATAGGTGTTAACGCCATCGTCACCGTCAACTTGTAGACGTTATCTCAAACCAAGTTATCAACACACGGCAATCATTTTTTTTGGTCAACAAACAAGGATAAAAAGGAAACTACACTGAAGCAAACAAGACATAAAAAAGAAAGAAAAGATCATAATGAGAACCACGGACTTCAAATCATAATTCTTTTTAGCTTATACCTACTTTTCTCTCCGAAGAGATAGACTCCTCGATGGTTTCTCAATCCACTGTTCCGACAGATCTCCTTGTTTTTTGGAGGGTTGCTGTGTGAGTCACCTTATTTGCTGATCTCTTCACTGTCCTAAAAATTATTGGAAATTTTTTTTTGCATATCCCCATAGATTCATTTGAATTTGTTCAATGCACTGGATTGTCGTCCCAGGGCCTCATTCATGGAATCGATGGTGATCTTCGAATCAGACTCCGCCACCACTGACTTGTACCCCTTTGCTACTGCTATTCTGCATGCTCTTCGGATGTCTTATTTGACAAAATTGACAGACCTAGTCATCACCCACCAACTCTGGTTAATTTGAATTCCTTCTAATTTTTTTCTTTAAAATTAATTATTTTATTTTATTTTTAAAAGTAATAATTTTTAATATAATAGTAAATATTTTTTCTAATATAATAGGGGAATCCCATGACTTGGCGGGATTAGAGTGAGATTTCGAAAGACTAAATATAGGGTGTATCGAAAATAAGTATTATTGTATTGCATATTTTTTTAATCCATTATCTTTTATTAATTTCATTCTATTTTATTTTTTACAATTCATAGTTTTAAAAAACTCAAATTTAAATTCAAAATTTAAATTCAAAAGGTCGTAAGAGAACTAATAGTCCATTTGGTAAAAATTATGAAAAATACAAAGGATGATAAAATATGAGAGATAAACTTTTCATCTTTGAAGAAAGAAAAAATATTTTCTCTCTGTTTTGTTAGGTATAATGGATGAAAAGTTTGAAAGATTAATTCTTTTATTGTTTGGCATAAGAGAAAAAATGAAAAAAAAATATTTATTAATTTAATTTACAATTATACCCTTCCAACTTTTGTTATCACCAGACATTTCACATATTAATGACATTTATATAATATTATCTTAAATGGATAAAATAGACAAAATGGTGTTTTAATGGTCAAAACTTTCCATTTCAGCTGTTTTCCGCCCAAATTTGTCGGATTGTTTTTAGTTGATGGAAAAGGATTCTTCTTCCCTCGAACTTTCCTTCCCCTCTTATTTTTCACTCTAACCAAACAATGAAAAATGGTTCTTCCTATTCTAATTTTTATCCTCCTTTTTCCTTCCACTTCTATTTTTCATGAAACGATTGCTATAATAATATATATATTTTTATTATTTAAACAAAATGAATTAATTCATCATGTCCTCTCCTTAGTTTTCGTGTTGGAATAATAATTGATCGTGATGCCTCTCGTTGGACTTTTGGGTCTGATCCTGTGGTATACACTATTCTTGACTCTCTGACATCGGATCCAACCACATCAGCCTTCTGGGTCCCACAGGTTGGTCCTTACCCCCACGCGCCAGGGCAACCGATTTTGCTACTTGTCCAGAGGACAGCCAATGGTGAAGCGTGTGAAGTCCTCACAGAGGATCGAAAATTCTATATACTTTTGAGTTTCATTTACCTGGTTCAAAAAGTTTCGCCATTAGCAACCACCAACCCTAACCCCTCCATATTTATATCCTCCACAGGCTACAAGGCCCTTCATTTCCACTTAATTTACGTTTTCTACCTCTTACGCTCTGTATAAATATACGTATGCATTTATGACATATAAGAATACACTCAAACTCTCTCACTAGTGGACTCTGTTTGGGGTTTCTCGTCTTCTTCTTGTAATAGACAGGGAAATGGTGGAACCGCTGACTCTCAATGGAGATCGAGGAGACTCCGAAGAGCTTCTTCTGTTGTCGGATACCACCGGTGGTGACGGATCTTGGCGGTTGAACTTTGAAAGCTTTCAGTTATCAAAGGAGCACAAAGAGAAGCCTCCTCGTGGCCTCCATGATTGTCTTGGGGTTTTAAGTAATTTTGTGAATCTTTTTTTTTTTAATTTTCTTTTCAACCTAATATTTTAATTTGATTTGCTTGAATTCTTCTATTGGTTTGGCGTTCAATTTCCCCGTGTCAAACTAGCATCATTCTATTTGGAATACGAATTTTTCTTCTTGTGGAAATGCTTTATGTGCTTTTCGAACTCGTTTTGTTTATTTCTACTTTATTTTTCGGAGTTATATAGTAAGCCTAATTCTGGGTTGAGTTTATTTCTCGATTTGTAGGGTGTTTTGTGCTCTTGTTTTGTCTAGAATCGGACCTCAATTTCACTTGCCTTGTGTGTTCAATCAATCTCAACAGAAAAGGAATCTATGAGCATCAATTTGTGTTCAGAAAGTAAAGGAAGTTTATTTCTCGATTTTTAGGGTGTTTTGTGCTCTTGTTTTGTCTAGAATAGGCCGTCAATTTCACTTACCTTGTGTGTTCAATACATCTCAAGAGAAAAGGATTATATGACCATCAATTTGTGTTCAGAAAGTGAAGGAAGTTTATTTCTCGATTTTTAGGGTGGTTTGTGCTCTTGTTTTGTCTAGAATCAGACGTCAATTTAACTTGCCTTGTGTGCCATGACCATCAATTTGTGTTCTGAAAGTAAAGGAAGTTTATTTCTCTATATTTAGGGTGTTTTGTGCTCTTGTTTTGTCTAGAATCGGACATCAATTTCACTTGCCTTGTGTGTTCAATCAATCTCAGGAGAAAAGGATTCTATGACCATCAATTTGTGTTCAGAAAGTAAAGGAATACTACTTGTTTGTTGTTCTTGCTTGTGTGAGAAATAAATGCTTTTGTGGGTTATGTCTGTTTTGCTCTTGTTATGCCCCTGATTGCTAATTTGCTATGGAGGAATACTATGTATCTTTACTGTTCAATATGGCAGCTCTAAATTTATGGCCTTTGGCTTTTCGAGCTCGTAACAGAAACAACTAAACACCCTCAAGGATATTGTGACCTGAAAATATAAGATTTTTCTGGATACATACATACATATATATATACATACATATATATATATATATATATATTCCAGATTGCATGCGTCTTTGAAGTTGGGTTCTTATGAGAGAAATGAGGATTAGAGCTGTTTATTATATTTCTCAATTGGGAGTCTTGTTTGTGACTTTTGAGTAGCCAAATCTCAGTTCTTGGTTTATTTGAGCTTTCTCAGAAGAAATTCATTTCCATTGCATCAGTCTCATCTAAGCCTGTCAAGAGACTCAATATATCTTATTACTTTCATGCTCCATTAGATTGCTGAACATCATCTATTGCTAGTACTGAACGTTACTTTCGAAATTATATTCAGCTTGGACGCAAGACTCTGAATGCGTGAAGCACTCATACTATATTTACTGGAGTTCTATATATTTACTTCTGTATATTTCTGTTACACTTCTTCCAAAACAGCAAATTTCAATGCAATGGCATTATGTAAGTGATTTCTTGCTTCAAAGTTGTAGCTTGGATATGATGATATAAAGATGTGTGAAGGCTTAGTCAAATGCATTCATCAGGATACCTATGATAAATTGTTGACCACTTCATGGATCACATTTCAATTGCTTTGCCTGATGGTTCCAGGTCCAGAAGATAATGTGGCCGAGTATTATCAACAGCAAGTCGAAATGCTGGAGGGTTTTAGTGAAATGGATGCCTTAGCGAAGCGTGGTTTTATACCTGGAATGTCCAAGGTTTGTTGTGTCCTTGCATTCTATTTTCTATGGAATACGTTGAATGTGAATTTTCAGCCTGTAGAAGAAAAAGAGCACAAAGTGCAGTGGCCTTGGAATGAAATGTTGATTCTTTTGGTTGCAGGAGGAGAGGGAAAAGTTGGCTAGAAGTGAGACAACTGCTATTAGAATATCTAATGTAGCGAACATGATTCTTTTTGCTGCTAAAGTTTATGCATCCATCAGGAGTGGTTCGTTGGCCATCATTGCCTCCACATTGGACTCACTTCTTGATCTTCTGTCTGGTTTTATACTTTGGTTTACGGCATTCTCTATGCAGACACCGAACCCATATCAATACCCTATTGGAAAGAAACGTATGCAGCCTTTGGTTAGTTCCCTTGCAATAATGCATTCGTCTTTACTAAGCTGTGCCCTTGAATCTCTCTCTCTCTCTTGAGGGAAGTCCAAGATTGCTTTTGGAATTTTTATGAAAGATATTTTTTTTTGAACAAAAGATAGGATCATCTCACTGGTCCTTCTTAATCAGTTTTGGTGCATCCTAAAACTTCTGTGATCAAATGATTCATGACTCAGTATAGTCGTTGAAGGGGATCAAGGATTTAATTTGGGCTGCCTAATTTTTAGCATCCAACAATATTTACCTTTTGGTTAATGGTATTTTACATATTGTTTTTCTTCTTTTGACTTTTTTTCTTTTCGGGGTATTTTTCTTTGTTTTCTTCTGACCTTTTGGACCTTCCCCCCTCCCCCCCGAGGCGCCCTTTTGTTATAGTTATTTTTATCAGTTTTGCCGGTGGTATGTTGTGAATTGAACTATGGATTGCCACTTTGATAATGAAATTGACACTGCAAGAACGATATGCAGGGAATCCTTGTTTTTGCTTCTGTCATGGCGACTCTAGGACTGCAGATAATCTTGGAGTCTATGCGCACACTAATATCTGATGTAAGTGAACAGACTAATTCGAACATAGTATCCAGTAGAAGTTGGAAATTGGACAGTAGGAACTGGGTGGTGATTTTTGAAATATTAACCTTTTCTCATTCTCTTTGTTTTGGAATTAAATGAGCACTCTTGGTTTTTTCAGGATGCTGAGTTTAATTTGACCAGGGAACAAGAACAGTGGCTCATTGGTATTATGCTTTCTGTGACAGTTGTAAAACTCTTCCTGGCAGTGTATTGTCGCACTTTCACCAACGAAATAGTCAAAGCTTATGCTCAGGATCATTTTTTTGATGTTATCACCAATGTTATTGGCCTCATTGCTGCATTACTTGCGAATTATATCAGTGATTGGATGGATCCTGTTGGAGCTATCATTGTAAGTGCAAGAAATATCCCCCCCTTCCAAGTTCATCCTTCATTATATTTGTTTTCTTTGGGCTTTATTTTTGGTGGGGGTTGGTATTTTGGGATTGTAACAGAGGAACCAACATTTAATTTAGCACCACACCCTGCAAATATTAAAATTGGGAGGAAATGGAAGCCAGTACAGATCTTCCTTATCCATGAACTTTCAGGCATGGGCCTGACTTATTGGACCATATAATAGCTTAGAAGGTGCACAACATGTGTCAGGCAGGGCATTCGTATGTTACCATTCAAAATTTGACATGAATCCATTTATGGATTCTACTGTAAGTAATGTTAACTCCCGTAGCTGAAAACTTTTAAGCATAAAGTTGTGCTCATGAAATAGGTAAAAAAATTGTTTATGTACTTATGAATGATGGGAGAAAGGTGGTTGTTAGTAAAGAGCATCCAGTGTTCCAGGCTCCTGACACTCCCCAAAAATTAGAAAAAATAATAATGAAACATATGGTCAGATACCTAGTTCCTTTTAATGTAGCGCCCCAAAGCACAATATTTCCTAACCTCTCACAGGTCATAAAAATTGTCTGTATTCTTTTTTTGTTTGGTTGTAAATATCAGAGTATAAGCAAATACAATGATTCCCAATTTCCCAGATAAAGAAGTGAAACAAAATCTAAAATTTAGTGAGTAAAACAGACAACATGCTAAGATGGCATAAGTCTTCAGGCATACTGCTATATTTATGAATTTATTTCACCAGAATTCAAATTGCGTACATCCTATATTACAAGTAAATTCATGGACAATTCTCCCTCATAAAAATTCTGATTCTATGCATCGTCCACCATACATACTGCCTTTATATGTTTGTAGGGAAAGACTGGTACCGAATTTGTAACTTGATACTTAAAAGTTTTAACTTGACCATCAAAGGTCATAATTTTCAGTACCATACCAAAACATCTCTTTTCAGTATTACTAGATTTGTTATGCATCAAAATGAGGAAACAAGACTCTTAGAAAGCCGAAATCCTTAATCCGACTGCAATATATTTGGATATACATGTTTAGCTTTCATTTACATAAATAATAGATTTCTTACCCTAGCCAAATGCTAGAGAACCACTGAACCAGCAGATTTGGGCAAAGTGAGAAGTCGTTGACAGAGTTTGCCCTAGAGAGAGAGTGTGCTGCCACTCGCTCGATTGCAGAGTTTAGGGCAGCAAGAGAGATGGATTGCCCTAGTCCACATTTTGAGATGGTTGGTTTAACTGTTATATTTTGGCTTGTTGAAAGTACTTTTAGAAGTATGAATGGACAGTGTCTTAATCTTTTTACCTTCTGCAGTTGGCCTTGTACACCATTCGCACGTGGTCATTAACTGTGTTGGAGAATGTCAACTCCCTTGTTGGAAGATCAGCTGCACCAGAATTCTTACAGAAGCTCACATACCTCTGTTGGAACCACCACGAAGCCATAAGGCACATAGACACTGTCCGAGCTTACACCTTTGGTTCTCACTACTTTGTTGAAGTCGATATTGTCCTGCCTGCTAATATGCCTTTGCAAGAGGCTCACGACATTGGGGAATCCTTGCAGGAGAAGCTTGAGCACCTCCCAGAAATTGAGCGTGCTTTTGTTCATCTTGATTACGAGTATAGTCACAAACCTGAGCATGCACAGGCACATCTTTAGTCACATGATACTCTCTATAATTTCTCGTGACTTATCATATGTTTGACTATTTGTTTTAACCTGTAAGTTTTCCACATAATGTTTTTGCAAATGAGTCAATCTTATTGATGGCTTTAGACGGGCCAAAATGGTTTTCAACATACTCCCGTCTTCCTCCCAGTTGTTGCAGTCCTGCACGGGGATTATGCCTGCATAGACTCGTGCTCTAGAATTTTTTTTGTCTCGTGGTTTTATTTTGTTGGCATACAATTTTATCGAGACCATGTGAATGTGACATTCGAGTAAGAAGTTAAAAGAGATCATAGTAGATTAGTTTAGTTGGTTAAACTAGTGGTCAAAATTTAAAAGAGGTAATATTAAGGGATAATTCAGTGGAGACAAAAATGAGTTGTAAAGTCCGTTATTTTGTGTTTAAAATTTAACAATTTTTTTGGTATTCGATTACGAGGGATTAATGAGATCTCTCATCAATTTTTTAGTCTTTAGTCTTGGTGTACATAATTTATTTTTAATCGAACTGAAAAAAAAATTAATGGAAGCTATATATGAATTTTATCCATTATTAAAATAAGGGTTAATCTTATTTTACACCCCGAAAGATCGTTCGAATCTCAATTTGCACCTCAAAGAGCAAAAATCTCAATTTGTACTCTCAAAGATAGAGATTTGTATCAATGTGCACCCCCAAGGATCAAAAATCTCAATTTGCACCCTCAAAGATAAAAATTTATATCAATGTGCACCCCAAATATCAAAAATCTCAATTTACACCCTCAAAGATAGAAATTTATATCAATGTGCACCCCAAAGATAAAAAATCTCAATTTGCACTCTCAAATATATAAATTTGTATCATTATGCACTTAAAACTAAATTGATAAATTATACCTAGATCTCCTCATGTTTGTCACTTAATCATTTGGACCTCTTTATATTTAGAATATTACTCCTACATCTCATAACATTTATGCACGTACAACATGTAACTCATTTTCATTGATATCTGTTAATATAACCGTTAAAAAATATAATTTTATCCTAATAAAAAAATATAATTTCATATTACCCTTATTTTATGGGTCCAATATACTCTAAAATTCAAAATCAAGCTTACCATTTGAATGTCTAATAAAATGTAGATATTTATATAATGTTTTTCATATTTTCCTTTATATAAATATCTACATTCTATTAGACATTCAAATGGTAAGCTTGATTTTGAACTTTAGAGTATATCAAATCCACAAAATAAAGAGTAATATGAAATTATAATTTTTTATTAGGATAAAATCATATTTTTTAACGATTATATTAATAGATATCAACGAAAAGTAGTTATGTTTACACATGTATAAACGTCATGAGATGTAGGGGTAATATTCTAAATGCGAAGGGGTTCAAATGATTAAGTGACAAACACGAGGGGATTTAAGTATAATTTATCAATTTAATTTTAGGTGCACATTGATACAGATTTATATCTTTGAGGGTACAAATTGAGATTTTTGATCTTTGGGGGTGTACATTGATACAAATTTCTATCTTTGAGGGTACAAATTTGATCTTTAGGGGTGCAAATTGAAATTCGAACGATCTTTCAGGGTGCAAAATAAGATTAACCCTTAAAATAAAGCCGAGAAGGCATGCGAGAACTTACATGTGACTCTATTTTACATTGTTTTTTTAAATTTTTTTTATTTAACGTTTAGAAGTGTATGAGTCAATTTATGGACATCTTTACTATCTCTTCTCATGAATGGTCAAAGATAGGTTATCCAAACTAAGACTAAAGTATTTGTGAGGAATAAATTTCTCATAACCTGATCCTAAAAGATTGTCAAGATTTGAACTTAGGATATTTATGTTCCGTTTGGTATGATAAAAAAATTGAAGGATAAAAAGTTAGATGAATAAATAAAACATCAATGTTTGATAAAGAAGGAAAATAATAAGGATGAAAAAATGGACGAATTAACTTTCTTTACAACTCACTAAAATCAATCCCTCAAAAATCGAAAGGAAAATGGATGAAAAATTAATTATTTGTATTGAGATGTATCTTATTTGTTTATATATTATTATACATTAATTTCATATAAAAATACAATGATAAAATATATATTTAAAAACATTTAAAATTTTAAAATTAAAAAATTAAATTAAAAAAAAATCATTTTAATTAGGGGTAAAAATTTTTGACTCAATATGATGACACGACTCGAACTCGACATAAATTTTATGACACAAACTTGAAAATGACCTGATATGCAAACAAAAAATATAAAATACTCATAATTTTATAACTCAACACGAATCTGACATGACACGAGTCGATTGTCACCTTTAATCATAATCAACACAAAAAAATTTAAAAAAAAATTAGCCATTTATATTTTTCATCCATCCAACTAAACACAAAGGAAGAAAAGTGTATTATTCCTACTTTCCATCCTTGAAGAATAGAAAGTGTATCCCTCGTACTTTTCATCCTCTGTACCAAACAGAGTATGAATGATAGGAAGTGTATTTCTCCTATTTTTCATCGTTCGTACTAAACGGAATATTCAGTTTACCGCCTATTTCTCTTTCCACTTAAATTATCTTTCGGGTCCACAGAAATTATTGGTTAAGGCCTGACATCGTGGAATGTTTGCTAGATATTTACGGGTGATCGTAGTTTGCTTAATTGACCAAGCAATATAGACACTTCAACAAAAAAAAATATGGAATATTTTATATATATTGCTTGATTGACCACCCCCGGCTCCCCCACCCACCCCACACCCCGATCCCTAACATCCACGGCGAAATCTCCTCCCTCGACAACATGAGCCTCTCACCTCCTACTACGTACAAGCCAAACACTACTAGGGATGAAGTCACAAATTTATTTCTCGATGATTATTTTTGTTGTAATTTTTAATTTTTATTTTGCTATCGGATACAAATGATATGATACTTATCTTTATTTACATCATATTTGATATTTTAAAATTCATTAAACTCCAAATTATTTTGCAATTTAAAGATGTAAGTCCAATTTTTTATATACTTACAAAAATGACCCAACAATTTATTATCTCATAATTATTTTTAAAAAATAACTGAATGACCCAACATGTCCTAAAACTTATCCAAATGTGTCTAGCTTTATCCAAAATGGGTCCAAAATTCCTAGTCATTCCGTATATATCAGTGGATGTACCCAAAAAAAAAGTGGGGACAATATATTTAATGAAAAAATATATCAAATGAATAAAAGTATTATTATTTTAAAAGGTTAATCTCAAATTACATTTTCAAAAATTGTTCGAATTTTAATTTGTATCCTCAAAAATTAAAAATCTTAATTTAAACTGTTAAAGATAAAAATTTATATCAATGAGCTAACTAAAACTAAATGGCTAAATTATACTTAGACCCTCTCATGCTTGTCAATTAATTATTTAGACTTTTTACATTTGAAATATTACATCTACATCCCTCTAGAGTTTAAATATGACTAAAATTGTTCCCTAAATTGGGTATTCAAATAATTTTGTTTAAGTGATGTATTGCATTCGATATAAATAACATTATATAAGTACTTGAATTATGTTGGACATTAAAATGGTAAGTTTGATTTTGAAATTTAAAGTATAACGAATCCACAAAATAAAGGATAGTGTGAAAATTACAATTTTATGATGAAATTATATTTTTTAACGGTTATATTAACATATATTAATAATAAGGGGTTATGTGTTACATGTGTATAAATGTCAAAAGGTGTAAGAGTCATATTCTAAATATAAGAGGGTTTAAATGATTAAATGACAAGTATGAGAAAATCTAGGTATAATTTATTTATTTAATTTTAAACAGTAAATTGACAGCTGTTAGTTTCAGGTGCGCATTGATACAAATTTCTATATTTGAGGATGCAAATTAAAATTTTTTTATCTTTAAAGATATAAATTAATATTCAATCAATTTTTTAGAATACAATTTGTGATTAATCCTATTTTTTTTTAAAAAAAAACTTAGGGTGTGAATGTGCCCCCGGACCATGACTTTGTTAGGGGTGAAATGTGGGAGGAGTAACTCAAACCTAACCTAACCTAAACCCGTCTCGAAAAAATTAGTGTCTGAATTGAGTTTTTTTAAAATTTGGGTAAGACATCACCGACTCGAATTAAATTTGGATTGTACCCACGTTTAACTTAAGCCCAAACAAAATTACTAGAAAATTGGTTCAACCTGAATTCAACTTACCAATAATAATATCTCACTTTTTTTTTATTAATAAGTGATATCACTAATAAATTTTGATCAAGAAGTAAATATCGTTGCTTAATTATAAATAATTATACAAGGGTAAGAAAATTTATTTAACTCAATAATCACAAATACTATCTAATGTCACAACTATTATACTAGTTTATTTTTTTTTTGTTCAAGCTTGTGTGCCTATTAGTCTTTCAAGTTGAACGATTGATTATCGTGATTCGAAATAGGTTAAAGTATATTTTTAAATGAACAAAAATAATTAAAAAGTACAGAAAAGAATTAAACCCGAGACTAAAAAAATCAAATAAATTTGGTAGCGTAGTCGTACATCAAACGTTAGCAGCCACGAAAACAAACCCAAAAAAGGCAAAGAAACTTCCTACCACCACTCGCCGCCGAGAGAGCGGGGTCCACAAAAATCGCGGGACTCAGAGACACCACGGGCCACCCACGGAGGGTACACTCGGTATTAGCTAGACTGCACTAGCAGACGATCAAACGCCGTGGATGCGCATGGATATAACCTACGCATCCTCCAGCCACAGCAACCTCTCCGACATGCCAACCTCCAATAGGCCCGTGAAGATCATTCCCTTGCAACATCCCTCGACGGCGTCGTCTTCGTCGTCATCGTCCACGGCCGCCGTTTTTTCGAGATGGAAGGCGAAAGTCAACCGAATGACGGCGACGGAGTGGATTGAGATGTTCTTGCCTTGTTACCGTTGGATTAGGACGTATAAATGGAGAGAGTACTTCCAAGTCGATCTCATGGCTGGCGTCACCGTCGGTGTCATGCTCGTCCCTCAGGTTCTCTCTTTCTCTCTCACCCCACAATTCATATGAATTTTTATGGGTGACGTATATTTTTCGATTTTTGTTAATTAAAGAGCTCAATTCACTGAATTCCGAAGCGAATTAGTTTTTTCTTTGTTTATTTTTCTATTTTTTCTTATATTTTCTCAGCAACCAATCAGAGTTTGCTCTATCTGTCCTATTCCCCTGACGTTTGTTCTTTGTTTGAATGTTAGTTGGGTGGAGTGCTTAATAAGCTGTGCTCGCATTGATCTGGTTTCTAATTATCTTTAGTTATTGAAATGTTGGATCGACGTGCTTATCAGTTTTAGTTTTGTTTCAAGCACATGCGTAATAATGAATGATTGAATAGTTATTATCGAATTTCAGTTTGATACTGTATTTGATATGATATGGTTATATAAAGCACTGAACTGTTAGCTGATTGGATGGATCTTTTTTAGTTTGAATATGGACATTTTAACTCTTTCTATATATACTATTTGAAATGAAAATTAATTTATACAAGTCGTAGTGCAAGGTCGAGCCTCTTATTGTTGATTGTTAGGGAAGATTGGTCATAGATTTTTTTTTATTTATAAGCATTGGTTGGTCCTTTTTCACTGTTGCCACCTTGTCTCAAAGTATATCACAAACAAACTCTGGCTTGTTTGTTTTTCAAATGTTCGTTCTAAATTTGTTTTTCTGTTTTCAAAAAGCTGCGTGTCCTCATTATGCCATGTCCTTTTGTTTTGAGAATGTGAAATATGTTAAAGGGTGCTTACCTCTTAATTATAATGGTGATAAATGCTGATACACTTGTCATAGATAGACAGTTTTTTCATTTATTTGATTCATTTTTGACTGTTTGTTTTATATGGCCAGTCGATGTCTTATGCAAAGCTAGCTGGGCTTCAACCAATATATGGCCTTTGTAAGTGTAATCATCCAATCAAGTTCAAAGTAATTTTTGGTGCTGCTTACTATTTCATTTATGCTATGATTCTAGTTTCTGAGTTTTGATCTTCAAAATCATTGGCTGTTCTTGAATTATGAATGAAATTCTAGCCATTCCTCCTTCTAAATAGGCAAAAAAAAATAAAAGGAAAAAGAAAAAAAGGTATTTTATTCCGTTATTTTTTGAGTATGGAAATTTTAGAAGCACTTCAATCTGAAATTGAACTCATAAGGTTTAGATTTATACTAATCTTTGTTCATTATCCACACTAATGGTACACATAGTGCTACTGTTGGATCACCAATTGTTTGTGACTTGGCAGTTTGAATGGTCAAGTGTAGACTGTAGAGCATTGCAATTCTTTACTTGGCTGTTTTTATTTGGTGCTTAATTCATATTTCATTTACCCCCCACAACTGAAATACCCATATCCGCCTGTGTAACTCTGGCATTGTTGTTTGTGCTATGCAAGTCAGATTCTGGTTTCGTGCCCATATTTGTGTATGCCATATTTGGGTCATCTCGTCAACTTGCAATTGGTCCAGTGGCATTGGTTTCTCTCCTTGTCTCTAACGTGTTAGGCAGCATAGTTGATTCGTCCGAGGAGTTATACACAGAACTTGCAATATTGTTGGCGCTTATGGTTGGGATTCTGGAATGCATAATGGGTCTTTTGAGGTACTTCTGCTGTGGTAGTTATAAATTTGTCATATTGAATCTTACACGATGTGAAGTGGGTTCTCCTGGTTGAATTGGTATATTTTATTTTACACTAGCGTGTGAATGTATGCATATTCCAATTCCAATTCATAAATTTGAAGTTCTGTCTGCTTGTGCCATGTTAATCTGTCTGGAAAAAGAAAAAAAATCTCCTGAAAGATAGCACCAACCGAATACCTTATATGGATTCATGAATAATCTTGTTGGAAACTTTGTCTCAAAACTTAGAGGCTGGGAAATCCTTAACCCTATGGCTGAAGAAAGTTGAAATAGGACTGATTGGATGCTAGCATCAACTTTTACTTTGTACCATTACTACTACTGGAAAGTAATAGACTTGACTATTGGTTGCCAACCTAGAATTCAGCGTATAGGGAGTCCCTTTTCCTTTTAAGACTGCAAGGAGGTTTGACATGACTTTTCAACTACTAAAAATCTGCATCGCTTTTCTTCTTTGGGTATATTTTGAATTTTCTGACTATTTTCCATAAAAGATCTAACACCATTTCCCCCCCTCCAGGCTTGGATGGATTATTCGCTTCATCAGCCACTCTGTGATTTCTGGCTTTACAACTGCTTCAGCTATTGTCATTGCCTTGTCTCAAGCAAAATATTTCTTGGGATATGATATAGAAAGAAGTAGCAAAATTATTCCTTTGGTCGAGAGTATAATATCTGGAGCAGACAAGGTATCCTTTGCATACCTTAGTGATAGGTCTTTCAGAGGGTAATCTAATTATATGATTATATTTTTCTATTGAACTATATCTGAATTTAACCATTCGTGACTGTTATGGTACAACTCTATGATGTTTCTTATTATATGCATTCACATGTTGATTCCAAGCTTTCAATGGATTTTAGGTTTTAATTTAATCTGTTGTGCTTCATTTACTAACTAAAATTCCTGTCAACCTTTATGACAGTCTGAGACCCTTAACATAAATTAGCTCGTGCTAGCATCTTCACAGCTGTTATGTCGGATGAAATTTATATATTCTCTCATCTATTTTAAGCTCATAGTTGGCACTGGCTTTGTGATTGAATGAGATGATTGCACCTCAAACTCAGTGTCTGGTTTCTCGTGGCAGCGAAATTATCATTTCCCTGCAAAAGGAGTTACTGTAATTGCATAATTTGCTTCTTGACTGCAATCACTGATGTAACAGTATCTGAGAATATAGTAGCTAATCAACTAAATTTAACCCTTTATGTCTAGTAAATCATATGCCGCATTAACTAGATGAGAATATGTTTGCTGTCAGATAAAACCTGAATTTGTAAGGGCCTGATTCATGTTCTAGTCTTATGTGTTGGTAAAACTGGTTTGATGGCCATCAAGATGCCAGAAGCAACTAAATTAGGAATATAGAGAAAATAGTTCCGGTGCCCTGTATGATCTATGTGGCTATTACTTCTGCATGCAGTTATGTGATAGTTAATACATAAATATCACCACTCTTTCGCCAATATAGGCATTACTCTTGGTAACTTTGATACTGTAGTCATTTGTGATATGAAAGCCACCAATACTGATATTTGAACCGGAGTTTGGCAGTTCAGTATGTCTCTGGACAAACATATTGGTCTAAAATTTGAACAAAAGAAGTGGATTTGACCTTTTCTTTGTCAGAAATCTTTATCATTGTTCATGTATTGCCTTTCATCATGCTTAGTTTTTTGCCGTTCACCTATTTATTCTTGTTTCAACTAAAGGTGTGGTTTTTTTTTTTTTCTGCAGTTTCAATGGCCCCCTTTTGTGATGGGCTTTATCATTTTAGGGATTCTTCTGGTCATGAAGCACTTGGTATCAGACCCTTGCTAACATTTTTTTTTTTGTGAATTATGTACTTGTGTCTATCTGTATCAGTTGTAACTTCTGAGGATGTTTTGGATGGTTTCACGTATAGGGACAAACAAGGAAGCACTTGCGTTTTCTGCGAGCAGCTGGTCCCCTCACAGCTGTTGTTCTGGGTACAGCCTTTGTGAAAATATTTCATCCATCTTCCATTTCTTTGGTGAGAATAGAATGAATTGAGCTCACTCTGAAAAAATTGGAGTTGAATCTGAAGAATATTGCCATGCAACTTTATGCCAAAATTATTTTTATCATTTTCCTATCAAACAGATGTTAACCTCTGCTTTCCTAAAATGGTTATATAACTTATCATCAATAAAATTTTGACCAGAACTGAAATCATATACAAAATCTGGCTCAAGTACTCATATTGTCCTAGCCAAAAATTTTAAAATCGGGATCCACTTTGGATCGATGGGTAAGGCTTGGATCGAGAAACATACGATCTCATGAACTCAAAAAATGGGATGAAATATATATGTAACAATACAAAACTCTTAAAAACAAGAAATAAACAAGCCTAGTATATATTATATGCAGATAGAAATGTTATGATAAGCATAAAAGTTAAGAGATACGATTAAAATTTGTGAAACTAGAAGTTAAGCAATGAAGGGGCTGGAAATCCAAGGCGGATTGTTGATTTTGCGAAGGGTAGTAGTAGAATTGAAGTATTTTGATCTTAACTTTCGGAGAGAGGTGGATATGGACGAGGGACTAAAAAGTCGAGAGACTGTTAACTTTGACAGTTTAAGACCAAAACATAAAAAAATAAAAATAGAACACTATCGGGCTATAATCACTCTCCGAGAGAGGAGATCAAACCTAATCATTATTTTCTACTTTGTAATGAGAGAAACTAATGCGTGAAGAGAGCTTTTTCTAACAAAAAGAATTTTCTATAGCTTTTTTCATCAACCGAAATTTTTCAGTAGATTGATAATTATTTAAAACAATCACATTTGGATTTGAGTGTTTAAGTATTAAAATAATAAATATGAATCTGGCTAGCTCAATAATTAAATGCCCCTACCAAACAAATCCTACAAATCGGATCAATAAAATTGTAATTCAGATCGAAATTTTATGATCATGTAAGATTCGGATCCTGATCCATTAAGATCCTATGAATTGGGGATTCTGCAAAAGATTCGGATCGATTTGGTTATATTGGATTGTATGATCCAAGGATGTGGATTGGGGTTTTGATAGCCATGGTCCCAGCTGCAGTGGTTCTGACCATGCTATTTCAATGTGCTGGAGATTTTGTTACTTATTTTGTGGTATAGTATCCAACATAAATACAAGCTTAAGTATATAAGCTCGGTCTCACTGGCTTATATGCTCTTATTGGGCATCGTTATCTTTACTCCCGGATGACCAGTGGAGGTGCTGGTGTAGTTAGCAAAGCTCTATATCTGGGGCAAATATGATATTTGAATTGTTTATTAACTTTGTTATGTATGGCTCCCTAGTCCTTTTAGTGCCTTCATCTTGTTTAACTTGAATCTTTCCACGGTTATTATCAGTCATCCCTTGACCTTGACATGACTGAGCTGTTTCAACTCGCATGTTCTATCCTTATTATTTGTCCATGACTTCTATGTACCACTAGTGCCACAAAGGCTTTTAGTGGTCTTATTGACACATACCATGATGGGGTCTTTGACTGGGGTGAAGTCGTAACAAGGTTGCTGTAGTGGAACTGTGGCCGGATTGAATCATTTGCGATGGAAATGCCCTTTTCCCCCAACCAACCAAGGGGGCTAGCTTGCTGGTGGCGGGTGGGTGAAGGGTCCAAAGGGCACGTAGCCTGTGTGTTTTCATGAGGGTTGGGAACTGTGGAGGGTTGGTTAGACTCTGGGTTTATGGATTTGTTCATCCTTACTCGCTTCTATCTCAAAGTTGTCATATTTGCTCCAACAAATATAATGTACTTCTTCTTGATTTACCATCTAATCTGCTAGGCTTCTATTTTCGCTCTAGAAATCCACATATCATCACATGAAGAAAGAGTTTCATATGCTTATGAGGGAAAATATGAGAATGAAGAAAAAAGAAAAGAAAAGAAAGATTGAAAAGTTCCGCCTAAAAAGTATTAATTGTTATTTTGGAAATGATTGTGATTATGCACACATATTCCCAACAAAGGAAACTAGGAGAAATAATCTATATCTGAAATGGTAAGAGACCAAGAGAATTACTATACTCTTTACATTGTCAACAGATACTTTGAAAATTATTTTAAATTCTTCTTTGCCCCCAGTTTTGGGGGGAGGGCATGATTTCATTGGGAAGGAGGGAAAATTCTCAGAAGATTTCTATGGTTTTTCTATATTCTAAAACCAGTATATGGACAGTTCAAATAGATGAAACATGGAGAATACTGGCATCTGCAATCATGTTGAGCATGTGAGAGACATGTGTTCATGTGATCTTTGGATGTGAAGAATTGGTATATGATAGACTGGTGAATTAGGGAGCGAGAGGAATTGAAGGATTGGAATCCAAATCACAAACAAAGCTCCTTGTATGTTAGGATTTTGGTTAAAATTAAAGTCTAGTAAGATTAAAACCCTATGGAAAGATAATTTTGATAAACAAAAAGTTGTACAAAACCGTTCGTGTTTTTTGTTTTCTTCCCTTGTGTGCATTGCCCCTTTAGTTTTGTTTTTAGTTATGTTGGTTTTATTGTCTTATTATATGCATGTTATGCATTACTGAAAAATGAATGTTGTTCAAATTAATCATAGCCCGGGCTTGGAATCTTTGACAACTTTTTTAGGTAGGAGATATACCACAGGGCCTGCCAAAATTCTCCATTCCTAAGAGTTTTGGATATGTAACGTCTTTGATTCCAACTGCATTCCTCATTACTGGGGTGGCTATATTGGTAAGAGTAGAGCCAACTGATCATTCATTTTCTAATGTCTTTTCTATATTTAAGTTGGTTGGTAAGTATATGTTCAATGCCATCAATTATTTATAACTGTAGGAATCTGTGGGGATTGCCAAAGCACTGGCAGCAAAGAATAAATATGAGTTGGATTCGAATCAAGAGGTATGCGTAGCATCTCCTGCCAGTACTAATGTCCAACAACTATGAATCCTACTCTATTAGCTGCCTGTTAAGGTCTCATGTGAAAACCAAGCTGACATCAAGGCAAAATCATTTTATCATGTTTCCTCTATTTTTATCGTGCATCAACTCTACCCAACTCAAATATTGCCATGGTTCGACCAATGCAAACTTGAGTCACTTGACAAATACATCTACAATTGGTTGTCTTTATGGTTGGCCTAGTAGATTGTAGGTCTAAGGCCAATATCATATGGTGCCTAAAGGTTATATTTATTGTGTCTATGGAGTCTGTAAGGATAAACGTTACCCTATGCAGAATAGATTGTCCCTCACGATTACACACATGGTATTAGACACTACCTAGAGTGAGGGGTGAATTGGTTAATTTCAATTCGTTTAAATAAACACCAAATTATAGTTTATTTCTACCACAATTACTTCTTCTCAAAAATCAATTAACCAATTAAAAATTGAGAATCCCTTTTCACAAGATTAAACCATGAAAACCAAAAAGATTGGTGTAATAAATTTGTCAATTTTACGATTAGCATCAATCTCTCAAGGCGATTCCAACCAAGGTAATAACCTACTACCAAACCACTATGAATGATATGAATATTCAAAGTTCAAACAATCATAACATCAAATACATAATATTGGTGTCTGCATCAAACTGCAAGTGTGTATGATAAAATAATAAATAACAGAAGTAATTTGTTGACGAACAAACCCTCATTGGGAAAAATCGCAGAGAACCACTCGCTATTCACCAAAACCTAATTCACTTTCTCAAAGTCAGTTTCCAAGAACTCGAGTTTTATACTTCTACTAATATCATGGTTAGACATTCATTTCATTCAATAAACCTCTACACCAGATACACCTACTGATATTATGGATAACTTTACTTGAACTCCCCCCCGCGTGTTTCGTTTAGATAACAATCTTTTCCACCAAGATCCTCGATATGCACACTTCACAAGTGGGTTTTGGTAGAACCAAACAACTTGTTCTTCTTTAAGGTGAGTTTGGATAGGAATCACAAGATAGGTTAGTTTTTGGATTTAGGGATCTAGAGTTGCTCAATGATCCCTCAAGGTTTAGAGGTAAGAAATAAGTTCACATGAAAGATCTACCTAGCTTGGGAAGGTGCTCTCTATTTATAGGCTTAGAATAGAGTTCGTCTTGAGGACCAAGAAAAATACAAATTTGCGAACAACTGCTCAAGCAGTGGATGCTGGATTGAAAAAATGATCAAACCATTGGAGTAGAGCAAGGACCGCTCAAGCCATCTCAGAGCGGCCTGAGAGCGATCTAGAGGGCAGTCTCTACTACTCACTCGTTTAGTCTTTTCCAATTTTATGTCTAAGTATTCAAAGACTCTGATGTTTTAAGTCTAAAACCAAGCAAAAAATTTGCCCCCATTAGTTCTAAAATGTGTTGCTCAAATAAGATCCGATTATGACTCAAATTATGTTTTCAAAACACAACAAGCTTTAGAAAAAATTTTCTTTAAAAATCTCTAGGAGTCATACTCAGATTAATCATGAATTTCATTTTAACTCTAATCATTCTAAGTCAAATAAATTAAGTTAAGGGTTCTTAGGTATCTAAGATCATTACCTTTGTCCTAAATAAGAAGGTGCATATAGAGAGGCTTTTGATATTGCTTGAAGCACGATCTCCTCCTTTTCATCGTCGCTTTCAAATCTTCAACTTTGTAAACATCATAACCATGGAATAGGTTGAGATTTACAAAAAAGATTTTACGAAATTAGCCAATTACAAACATGATCTTAGCAGAATTAATTACAAATATATTAGTTTATGCAACATGAAGTTGAGCATTATCGATTTAAGTGTTTTATCATACTGATGCTTCTGCAACCTCAGAAGTAGTTCATCTTTGGGAAGACTGGAAATAATCTCTTTAGGCAGAATTTTCTATGGAGTAACTTGAAGTTGATATGTAGAATGTAAATAGCTTAGAATGCACTTTCCTTATCAACAAGTTACATCTGTATCTACTTTATTGTTTCAATTTATTCCATAAAAATGCATTTTATATGTCTAATAAAGCAGCAGAATAGCATGAAAAGTGGTAGAGTAATTTTGTCAGTTGTTAGAGTTTATATGGTACCTTATTGTGCAGAGTAAAATTGGGCATTGGCAAGTGAAGGAGATTAGGAAAAAATAAAGCCCCATCTGATAGACCAATTGCTTGTTTTTTTGACAGTTGTTTGGTCTTGGCGTGGCCAATATCCTTGGTGCATTCTTTTCAGCATACCCTACAACAGGTGAGTCTCTGAGGTCAAAAGTGCTGCAAACAGGTTTAAAAACATAGAGACGTGAATTACATTCGTTATAACTTTGTTTGTCATGAACCTTTTCCTTTTGTGACATGCTTCTCAAAATATGGCTTTCTTTTCTAATATGTCATGTAGGCTCCTTCTCTAGATCAGCGGTAAATCATGAGAGTGGAGCGAGAACTGGCTTATCAGGGATTGTGATGGGACTTATAATGGCCTGTGCTCTTTTATTTATGACTCCTTTATTCGAGTATATACCCCAGGTCTGATTTTCATCCTGATACATATACTTATTTTTAGGAACATTCTAGAACAATTCTTTGGTAGTACAAGCTTCTATTTCCAGTTATACCATGGATTTGGTGTTTGAACACCAAGATTTTCTCGTAATAGGCTTTTGTTTATTTTTATTCTGTTCACGATCAAAGAAGTTGTAAAGTCTAACTGTTGGAGATGGTACCTTTGCAGCTAACACTTGATTTTTCATTCTGGTTTTGTCGATTGTATTATTCCAGTTATGAAGATATTTGACATGCTCACAATGTTTTTTCTGGTCTCTATTACCTTTGCAGTGTGCACTAGCTGCCATTGTGATCTCTGCTGTAATTGGGCTGGTGAGTGTAGTATACTATTACACTGAGAAGTATGTGTTGTTTTGACTTGACATGTTTACTGCTTATGCATTTTATTCTAATATTTTTTCACTATATTTTTAGTTTCACACATTTTTGACCACAGTACAGGGTTGCTCTCTGTATGTTTGTTATTTTAATTTGTTTTTGTAATAACCTGTTAGTTTGCTTGAGTTCTAAACTTTTGTTTCTAGGTTGATCTGGCAGCCTATATTTAAGTAGCATCATCTGACGGTTAACTGGCAGTTTGTGCAAAGAAAAACTGTACTGTAATTCTTTGTTGGATATCTTGTTATCTTATACCATTTTAACTAATGTCATCTGTTTCAATCACTCATCATTTTAGCCACTAGAACGGGCACAGTTGTCTAGACTCAGAGCGTCATCAAATTTTAGCTGATACAAGCAGTTTCGGATTCCAACCCCTTTAGTCCTTTCCACCCTCTATAGTGGTGATTTACATGTTGCATATCTAGCTATGCAATAAGATTCTTTGGTCCTTTCCACCCTCTGTAATGTTGATTTACGTGTTGAATATCTAGGTATGTGTTGAAGTATAAATATTAAATTTACACTCTTTAAGTTTTTAGAATAGATAGTTGTTTAACATGGTATTATAGCTGGAGGTCCTGTATTCGAATCTCGTCGCCACCCTAATTATTAAAAGCTTTTCACGTGCTAAGTCCAAAATCTAGCCTGTACATGGGGGGGCGTGTTGAAGTATAAATACTAAGGTTACACCCTCTCTAATAGCTTAAGCTTTTAGAGTAGATGATTGTTTAAGAGTATGCAATACAACTTATCTGGTCAAACGGATTATTATATAAGATACAAATGGTTCACTATTGAAATGGTTGCACTGTCTTTATATGTTTTGGGTATATTAAGTCATTTTAGAAATCGTTCTTGTGAGCACTCTTAAGTTCTTTTCTTCTTGTTCATTCATGTGAGGACATTTTTTTTATGATAACCAATTAATGAGTGTGGCTCCTTTACCATTTAAATGAGCTACAAACATTGTGCAAGAGGGTCTATAGCTGTGGGCAATTGTTTGTTTGCAGACTTTTCTTCATTGCAACAGATAATGCTGAAGTTTTCTTTCTTCCTTTTCCCCTCTTGGTTAACTCGGGACTGTGGGTGTGTTACATAGCTGATAAAGAATTTGTGTAGTTTTTTAACTGGATTTCTTTCGAATTATTTTTGCAAGAATGTGGATCTTTTACTAGGGTTTATTGTTCCAAGCAAATTTGTTTAAATTTACATGCACAATGGGATTACCTTGTTCAGATCTTGGCTTACATCTGCCTTTTTATTGTCTTAAACATTTCAGGTGGATTATGATGAGGCCATCTTTTTATGGCGTGTTGACAAGAAAGATTTCCTTCTTTGGACCATTACTAGCCTCACAACTCTGTTCCTTGGTATAGAGATTGGGGTCCTTGTTGGGGTGAGTGGAGATTTATAATGTTGTATGGAAAATTCTCTGTGATATATTCAAAATTTCGTGAACCAGAAATCTTTTATCATCTTTCCCCATCCCAAAGTATTCCAAGTGGTAGATATTATCAGGTTCAAAGATACCTAATATATTCATCTTTCCATAATAAGATGTTATCGTTGTTGTTGCTTGAGGGCCTTGTTCTCCTAGATATAAATTTAAATTTCGTAATCAACACAGGGACATGTGCATCAACTTCTCTTGCACATGCACAAGTCAAGTGAAAGTCCTTTGCTATTGATTATAAAACAGAGCCTCCTTTAGTTCCCAATGAAGGTTCTTGAAAGTGCAGAACTTTTCATTTCTTTTGGCCTAACAAATGCCCATGTGCTTTGGAGTGATGGATACTGTCGTCTTGTGTACACAATCTTTGCGATTGGCCTAGAAATGAATATGTGACAGCTAAAATCATGTCAACTGCAGCTAGGTGAACAGGGACCTTGGCGATAACTCTTCTCATTTCCTTCAGCTCCTTGACTTCCCTTCTTATGTTTTCTAGTACTAGTCCCTAGGTAACCAGATCTTACTTTTTGTCAATCCTTCCCAAGTTCAATTTCTCATCAACTTCTGATATTTCCGCCTTATTAACGAGGTCTTGAAAATTAGAGCCTATAGAAGCAATACTGAGAATGTGTGTGAAGGATATTCCGGACTCTGGATTAACAATTTGATCAGTGGGATTATAGTGCAAAAGAGAACTTTAGTGGGATTATAGTGCAAAAGAGAACTTTATTTATGAAGAAGTTATGTTACGGTTCAGAAAGTATCACAATATGTCATCCTTCCCAGAAATGGAACTTTCATACCGGAGCAAGAACTACCATGAAAGTCAATCTATTATGACCAACGTGGTTGTTTATATTTCATTTTCTTCTTCTAATCCCAGACTTTTTTAGAAAGCACTCACTGAGTTACTTACAGAATCTCAATCTCTCTCGATGTCGAGAAGTTTTTATGTGTCTAGGCTGGGGCATCTCGAGAACATCTGAGGCCTAAAGCGATAAGTGCTAATGACCCTTTTTTATTTTTTATTTAAATTTTAAAATTTACCAATTAATTTTTTTTTTTCAAATTATGCTAACATATTTTTTTAATTTAAAGTATGACTTTTGATTACAAATATTTTGATAGGATTATAATCTATTGCCTCATTAATATTTTTATGTTCTTCTTGTTTGTTTTGTACGTTCTTCATCGAAATTGTGGTATTATATGATTGACTACTATTACAAATACATTCATTACTATTTTTTTTTGAATTATTCTACTATCTTCAAAAATTTTTAAGATCATTTATTTGTTTATATTTGCAAGATGTACCTAAATTTTTGTTATGTTTTATTTGTTATGAGTAACAACTTTATCAAAAAGATATTTTTGAAATTAAATTAGGTTTTATTTTAGATCCTTTATGAGAACTCAATTGTTGCACACGCGCATTGCACGAGAATTATTTTAAATTATTGTTTATATTTTATAAATTTGTTGGTCGTATATGCAAAAAACCTAAAACAGATTTTTATCATTATATTAAGTAGATAACAATATTGTTGTTTGATTGCACACTTTGTTAGTCTATGTTTTCAAAAACTTATACCATCTACTAGTATAATATTCCAGTGTTATAACATGTTTCTATTTTTTAACGTAATCTAATTGTAGTTTTATTTTTGATGAAAATGGATTGCATCAAATTCATCGTTTTAGTCCTTGCAATTTTATGTATTATCTAAAAATCATTGACTTTAAAGTTATTATTGTTTAAAACTTGGCTAGTAAAAGAAACATCAATAATGAGCATAAACGAAATGCTTAAGAGAAGACATAAAATTATTTCAATTTCTAAATTGTATATTTGTCAATAAGATGATCATAAACTATATCTAAGATGAACATGGCAAAATCTGATATAACAAAAACATAAAATTGACATATATATGAAAGATAAAAAAAAAAAAAAATTATGTACCATGAGAAAGAGGAGAAAAGTGGCTTTCCTTTTGCTCTGGCACTCGTTTAGAATGTGTTTTTGGATTAAGCTATTGAATTTGTCTTCATGGTGTGACAAATAATTTAGATGATGAAATGATTTCTGAACCGGACAAACCAATCTCATGGAATTATATAAAGGTTGGGTTGCAGAGAGAAATTTGGAGAGTTGAATTTAGATGGTCAAATAACCTATAGACTGGAAATAGGAAAGGATGGGAAGTGTATAATATGTATTTTAATGAAGTTATTAATCAAAGACTTATTAGTATTCTCGTTATGGTTTTCACTATTTTGGAGCCTCTATAAGTTGTAACTATAAAGTGTGGATCATTGCATTGCAATTGAATATGTACTCTTAGAATTGGATGGGTCTAAGACATAATTAAGATTACCCATAAAAGGTGATTAGATTATTCATTGCATTGTAATTGAGTATGAAATCCGAGAATTAGAATGATTTATTCATTACGCTTGTAATTGAAAATTTATTCCTAGAATAGGAATGGTCTAAGAGTTAAATTAGAAAATATGATATGAGTCAAATTAGAAAATATGATATGATTGTCTTCATATAATTGTTTGAGGATATAAGAGGAGAATAAAAGTTTTTCTTTGTAAGGAACTTTTAGAAGTAGTATAGATGAATTGTTTAGTTGGTATTTTGTGCTTAAATCACAACAAAATTGAGTTTAAGAATAGTAGAGAATTTGTTGATTTTGGTTTTGCTTTTGTACAGGGGAAAGATAGAGAGAGAGATTGACGCTTATTATATCTATATTTTTTATAGTAGAAAGTAAAAAAAGATTGATGATGGCAAGACTTTCTTGTTAACCCTTTTTGTCCTTTAATAAATGTGATTGTGTGAGGTGAGTTGGACTTTTAGGCCTAAATTTTAAAATTATTTTTATTGGCTCACTCTTTGAGGAGTGTTTTTGTTGGACTAAATTGTATTGAGTTTTAATCTTTGACTTGTATTATTGGGGCCTAAAACCCGAGTTTTTTTTTTCTCTATTGTTGAGTCGGCACTGTGTCTAGGTTGATCAAAGCTTTGGCTTCTTTCTTCCACACCTTTTAGCATTTGAGCCCTTGGAAAAAGAAAGAAGAGATATTGGGCCATGGACTATGAAAAAGAAGATTCCAATGAATCCGAAGAAAATAGCACATTATGGCCATGACCAAGCTAAAGATCACTACCATCTCACGAATTGTATTTGAACCACTATCAAACTACTTGTACTTTTAGTAGATCGTGAGTGGGTTAGTCGTCCGTCTCATTATAGTCCTCCTAGAATTAACAACATTTTGTCGGAATCAAAATGCTTCTTTGAAATCAAAGAAGACATACTGAATTGATGAGAATTTAAGAAACAAGATACAACCTATCATGACTATTATCCATTTTGGCAATAAAAAGACTTATTTGTATCCTTATGAATTGGACAATACTATGTTATTCCCTCTACTTCAATTGATTCTGTGGGGCCTGCATTTTTTACCCATCTGATATCCTTACATTTTGATCTATGGAGGTGCTGGTTCCAATGAGTTGTAATCACCATCACTTCCTGTGATGAGTTTGTTGATGCAGTCAATGAAGGTTATTAACTTATACGGGTTATGTTTTTGGAATTTTGATTTCTTAGAATTTACATGCTGCTTGTGCATATGATTTTGATTCACTGTATCGTACCCGAGGATAGCTAAGAGCACATCTATCTTCTGCATCGTCTTCTCCTCCTCGTCCCCATCTTTCTTCATTGCCATCACCAATTTTCCAATAATATGCCCTTCCAATTGTGTGACATTTTTATTGATGTGGCAAATTCTCTGATTGCATTTGTATGTTTTAGGCTGTCAAGAACATTTGATCTTACCTTAATTTCGCCTTTGTTTTTGCATTAGCAATCAGAATTATGCATGTTAGGCACTGCCTAATTTCCTGAGTAGATATTTTCTTATAAAAATTGCAAAATTTTAATATGCAGGTTGGTGCTTCACTTGCTTTTGTCATTCATGAATCAGCAAATCCTCATATCGGTAAGTGATTATTGTATTACAATTATTCTGTTTGTACTTTGATGCACCGTGATGAAATCCTTATAACTCCCTTCTTTTTAATTTTTTAGCATATTATCAAATTGATTTGTTGTTTTGGTCCCAGACTTTATAACAGCCAGAATCATTTGTATCTTTGTCCTTGACTGTAATATTTTCTGCCATTGTTAAAGCATTATTTCTGCTTTGGCATTCACCTCTTTCCATGATTGTGTCTTTTTGTAGATGGAAATTTCTTTTCTCTCTCCATCAATCATTCCATTTCATACCAGTGCGCTTGTCTTTGGCTTATGTTGTGCTTGCATATTCTTAAAACTAGATGTGGAATAAGTAACTTTTTTTACTGGAAAAATGACACCATCTCGGGGTGTCTGGATCCCAAATACTGTTATAGTAGCTCCAAACATCAGTTGAATTTGCTTATTTATCGGCTTGTTTTATACTGCAGCTGTCTTGGGGCGTCTTCCAGGCACTACTGTTTATAGAAATGTTCAACAGTATCCAGAAGCATATACATACAATGGGATTGTGATTGTTCGAATTGATGCACCTATTTATTTTGCCAACACTAGTTACATAAAAGACAGGTGACAATGATGCTGCCTTTGGCACTCTATAGAAACTTGATTTTGTAATAGTGGTGCAAGTGTGTTTTGCTCTTAGGTTGATTTATACTTCCTAATTCCCCATTTAAGTAATTTCTAAATCATTATATTGTCCCACTTCAGGCTACGGGAATTCGAAGTTGAGGTTGACAGATCTACAAGACATGGGCCAGAAGTTGAGAGAGTTTATTTTGTAATTATTGAGATGGCACGTAAGTTTTCATCATCTTCTTTTTTTTTTTTTTTTTGGTACTTTGAAAAAGAGCCTGTGGTTTTTAAATGCATGCTAAAATCTGTATAACCACTTATTCTGGTAAATTTTGTAAGAATGTGATGCTGCTAATATTATATTTCTAATGCCCTGCATTTATTTGATTACATATCACTTTCAGCGGTTACATATATAGACTCCAGTGCTGTTCAAGCTGTGAAAGAGTTGCATCAGGAATACAAGTCACGGGACATCCAGGTTCAAAGGCCCTCCTTTTGTTGAATTATTTGTGATAAAAAATGTTTGTTATGATCCCTTAAAATCTGTTATGGTCTTAAATCATATTTCCTCTGCAATCACATGGATTATATGGCAGATAGCCATTGCCAACCCAAATCGAGAAGTTCTGCTGACTTTAGCAGGTGCTGGTGTTGTGGATCTGATTGGTAAAGAGTGGTACTTCGTGAGAGTGCATGATGCTGTTCAAGTTTGCCTTCAGCATGTCCAACGCTTAAATGAGTCACCCAAGATCCCAGAAGTGTTGGTGGAGAATAAGCCAAGCATTTTCCAGAGGTTACTTGATCAGAGAACGGAGGATTTCTCTAAAGCTGAGTTGGAGTCAAGTGGTGGGCATTCTCTCATCTCCAAAGATGCCGACCCTAAGCTGGAGCCACTGTTGTGGCGGAAGTCTTGAAAATATTGCCTTCCTGTACATTTGTATCAGTGTCATTGTTTTATATGGTGAATTTTGTTCAATATTGCTGTGTATCCATTTTTCACTGAGGGTCGATTAATTTGTGTCATTGTTTTGTATGGTGAATTATGTTCAATATTGCTGTGTATCCATTTTTCACAGCGGGTCGATTGATTTGTTGTAAGCAGGCTTCTCTGTATCAAACAAGTTGAGTGATTCATTGCAACGTATTTACCAGTTTGCATTGCCTTCTTGCTTGATTTTTGCTGCTATTTTTGTAGCAGATTCCTGGTTTATTTTTATGTGATAAAACTTGTGCAGAGCCCAATTTTATGTAAAGGGAAAGACACTGACAATGTTGAACATTGAATACAGAACTGCACCAGCTTGCCAATGAACCCTTCTCTTGCTAGCATGCAGGACTCTTTTCAGTTCACACCAACTGAAACACAGAAACTACACAACAGCGACAGCGGGGCCTACTTCAAAACATACCTGCCATTGTTTTCCTTTCCATTGGATTGAAGAGTTGAAGTGTATCGTCGACTTTTTTGTTTCTTTTTCTCAATTCGAACTTGTGACGTTGAACATCAGCATTCACTAAACCATTTTGATGTACAAAGATGCAAGTTGAGTATTTGAACTTGGGTTGTTTTCGACTGGGGTTCTTATAAATGAAAGTTCTAGCTTAATATGATGGTTGATTGTATTTTGCTAGAAGATTGCATGTTTTTGCATAGATAATAGTATTTTCTCATATCCAAAAATTGTCTTGGAAACATTTAAAAAATTCAAAAATTTACATACTAAACATTGCAAAACATTGGATTCAATATTCAATAATCCATTTGTTTTGGTTGTCACGAAAACAACAATGTCTCAATTATTTCGAAATAAAATTTTGGAACCTTACATCCAATCTAGGGAATGGGTCTAAAGTACTCTCTTACTCGGACATTGATATTTTTTTTTTTTTTTTAAAAAGGTGTGGAACATAAGGATTTCTTAGGAGGTCACCCATCCTAGTACTCAGATATTTGATATATAGTGTCACCAATTAGCGATAGAATATCAAGTGGATTCAGTTGACGTCATTATTTTATTAACTATCAATAATTATCTCTATCATGTTAGAATAGAAGGATTTACCAGTTCTATTTGTTTTATAATTGGTTGGTGATACTATATGATAATGATGGCATTGTGTTACCATTACGTCCAATATTTACTGTGAAGGATTGTTTCAGCTTTCCCACATCGAAACTCAGACGAGGTCATCGCCAGATTACAGCGAAATAAGTAACGAAGAAATGCAATCTTGCAAACTTGCCTTAAACTAATGAGTAAGGAAAACAAAGCGGACGGTGAGAGCTGTCCGCAGCGCCCAAGAAACCGAAAGGTGCGCAAGAATTTATGGAGGGGTTATAGGCTGGCTGAGCGTTGACGCTGCTTACTTTGCAGAACTCGCTTGAGCGGGCCTCCCAACGACCCACCCCAACTCATCTCTCAAGCTTGTTCTAAAATTGATCTGGAACCAAAAATAAAATCAAGGCTCGCGTAAGGATTGATGGCCTTTTTGAGTTTAAAATCACTGATTTAAGCTATTGTTGATCTTTGTCAGCAAACGGTGGCCCAAAACCTAAAAGGCATGATCATCTGAGCTGTTATGTTGTGGTTGATGGCGTTTTTGAGCTGATTGGAAAAAGTTATCAACTGTTAAAAATCATTGATTCAAGCTAATACGTAATCAACGTTCGGATTTTGAATGGAGTCGCTGTGGATTTACTTTAATGGGGGATTGAATTGGCTATAAGACATTTTGAGATTCTACGACAATATTTGGGAATTAGGTAAAAACAATGACGACAGGGGCTGTCCATAATGTGTGGAATCATGCGTCTCTTTTCATTATCTACGCTGCTTTTTCAGTTGATGATCATGTGAAGCTACGAGATCATCAACGTTGGGATATTGTATCGAGCTGGTATTCGGATTAATCTTCATTTTGCTGGCAAGGTCGAAGAGAACTTTGAATGGAAGAGGTTCGGGCTTTCTTTTCCAAAGGGAGAAGGTCCTGGATCTGACACTCAACATGTTGAATCTTTGAATCGAAACAGTGACAACTGAGAAGCACATTGACATTTCACAAAGGTAAATTTGCTTTATGGGATTTGAATTGAATGGGGGATTGAGATCAATGAGTTCATTCTTTAACCTCGGTCATGAATATTGCTTCCTTGTTTGTTTATTTATTTGAAATTTTACTATTAGAGTTCTTCATGTTGCAAGTGTTTTAGGTTTGGGGATTGGTACATTTGTTTGGGATGTGGCTTGATTTCACAATATCACACGTAGGTAGGAGACAAACCATTTCATACCACAAGGATGAACTCACGAATCACCGCTTATTGCAGGGGTGAATCCAGCGGTGGCTTTACATTTAAAACTACAATTATAGGACTCGCATTTCGTTTTAAATTTTCAATGATAAAAAAGAAAAACTGGTAGATTTTTGAAAAATATATTTCTTTCAGATTAATAGAACAGAGGTAAATAATGTCCAATACTGGGATTCTATGTCATGCTCGATTGTTTTCGTCTTATGCTCATAAACAATTTTAGAGGTTCGATTTCCATCTCTTGCAGTAGTTAGTAACGCTTACCTTGATTAGTTGGAAGTGAGTTGTAAAAATGACCTTCAGGGAAAGCTATGGATTTGGTGGTTTCAGCATTTTATGAAAGACAAATAGAAACATACATCGTATATCAATACTAGCTGTCTGCCCCCCTTATAATGTTGGTTGTACAATGTTCTGGCAGTCCTGATGCTGACTGAATGTCCATTCTCTGGTGGTTGTGAAGTATCTTTCTATGTCAAAGCATGCTGCGTGAATAGCTTGAAATTTCTTGTCACCAATATGGTACGTTTTTTACTTCCATCTTCTTCAGGTAACTAGGAATACGAAAATAATTTGCTGAAAACATGAAAAATTGAAGGACAATAACGATAGTCTGACACGTTTCATTTACGATCAATCCACATTTGACATGTATTGAAGCTGAAATTTAAATGTTATGCATCTATGGCCACTGCTACTCGAACAGAAGGTTGGAAGTTTGGAACCATATGATCATTGTTACGTGCTTCCATATTCCTCTGCCTCATCGTGTTTTCAACGTATGTCTTACTCTTGATAATACTTTGCATCTCGTTAAAGGCCCACAATTGGAACACTACATGGTTCAATTTGTAGGTAGGTACAAAACTAAAGACCACTCGTACCATGTCACTGATATCACCCTCTTATCAATCTTTTCACATGTATAAATTGTATTCTTGTAAGGGTTAAAGTTGGGATTCGAAGCTTTTGATTTGTGGACTGATGATGGGGAAAAAGAGAGGTGGGTTGGTTTGCGAGAAGATTTTATTCCGGCACCAATTATATGAGTTGACAAGGACAAATTTGGGATACTATATTTGAAATAAGAAATCAATTTCATTTTGTTTGGATGTAGAGTCTATTGATGGTTGGTATATTACGCCACGACAAACTGATTACTCAATTATTTTCAACAGGGATTATGCCAATCGTGTGGAACGGTCAGCAAGAATTCTATGAAGAAATAGACTTGGAAGGTAATCTCCAGATTTTTATTTGTAATAATGGGATTACATGTACTACTGCTCCCTCTAAAAAACTCTGTTGTGTTGTATAGATTATATATGAAAACTTTGCTGTGATTGTGAGATTGCTATGATGTTATGATTAGCACCTCTGCAGGGGATAATGGAATAAAATGCAGCCTCAAATTGACACAAACTTATCAACAAAATATGTCGAAAATAGGTGGTCCATCCTGGAGTGTGCTTGGAGCCATGTTATTGGTATTATGCTAGTGATGAATGAGCCAGAAGATACTTGAAGGTAACCTTAGCTGGCTCTCTTGATTGCAACTTAGAAGAGTTGGCCACAGTAGCACAGGCAATATCCTAAAAATGACACAGTATTCCCCACAAACTCTCGAGGAAAACTACTGTTGATATGATATTTAAATCATTTTAATATGGTTTCTCACCAAATTTTTGCTCAAATGTATCTTTTAGCGGGCTCACTTGATTGAAACAGAAAGCAATTGGCCAAAGTAGCAGAGGCAAGATCTTAGAAGTGGCAATGAGTATGCCCCCACAAAGTCCAGCCTCTCTAGCTCTAGAGAAACAGAGAGACAAGGAAGGGTTGGGAGAGAGCCAGAGTGAAAACAACATGTAAAGCAAGACAAGACAGGCTGAAAAATTGAATGCACTTAAACAATAATGTTACCTAACTTAGGGACTTTATTTACATTCCGAAAAAACTTGGGCATTCAATGTATTGTGATAATTTTGGGACCTACTATTAGTCCAACAATTATAATAAATTAGATCCTCACATTAGATCTCTAAATTAGACCAAATGACATTGCTCTGCACAAATTTGGGTGTTTGGTTATTGTTGTGCTGATCCACTAATCGGATTGTGCTACAGAAGAACGAGGTTCGATTGATAGTGCCGCGCTGTTCACCCCTGATTGGTTGGGGACAAGTTAAAGAGGATAACATGGATGCTATAGTAGGATGCCTTATGGGTGTTGTAGGTTGAAAGACTGCCTTTAGAAGAACAGGGAAGATAGAAGAAAGGGGAGGGGGCAGTTGGGTATTTGGGGCCCGGGTATCCATGCCCAATGACAAAATATCCTACCAGACAAAAAAATGGTCACTTACAAATCTCCTCTAATCTCCTCTCCACCAATTGTAATCTATCTCTCACGTGGGACTCTTGGACCCACCAGCCATATAATTTTATTCTTTGCAATTCCCTAAGTCTTGATCTATCATCATATTGATCAATGCTATTTTAACTTAATTTATTGATCAAATCATTCATAATCATTGGATTGACAATGGGTCCCAATATTTATGGGGACCTACAATCAATCTAATGATCGTGATAGATTACGTCAACAAATTAGGTCTACATAAATATTATAGCATCATCTTATGGCAACACTCCTCTATATATTTCTCCTCGTATTGTGTATCCAAACATACATACCTGAGCTCCTTGTGTGCAAGCATTATCAAGTTAGTAGAGATTATCTCAGATATTAGTGTGTCATGGGGGACTCCTCTGCATCATACATACACATGGTAATGTTTTTCTCTTCTTGTTAAGGTTTGAATGGAAATTCATGTTTCCTTTGAGATTTTGTTGTAGGCTTTTTTTAATTTTTTTTTTTTGACATATATTTAGGTGCAGCACCTGATAGAGAAGTGCCTGATCTTCCGCATGACGAAAGAAGAGTGCATGGAAGCCCTTTCTAAGCATGCAAACATCACACCAGTTATCACTTCTACCGGTATTACTTTCCTCTCTCTCTCGACCCTCCATTCTTGGGGCTACAGCTATCATTTTCCCTATGCGCATGCATGCACACACGTAGGAATTCTAGACAAATTTGTGCTATAGAAAGTTGCACTTACATCAAATTCATAAGCAGTACCCTGTAACCTGCCTAGCTAGATGGAGTTGCTATTCACATGGAAGGATCAACTGACCTTGTTAACTACATCTCCCTTTTAGTTTCGAATTCAAATAACTGTAATCATCTTATAAATAAATTGTAACTAGTGCATAAGACTCTGGCCTATAAATCTTTGTCTGTATAGGCTGTAGAGTGAAATCTGGCCTTGCTAGCTACATTTTCCTTCTAATTTCAAACTAAAATAACTGTAATCATCCTAAAAAGATTATCCCTATGAATGAATAGTTAATAGTGTGCTGGAGGTCGAATGACTTTATGCTTTTCGAAGGTTGTTGCAGAATTTTTACAATCCGTTACTTCGATCTGGAGATCTAAGCAAAATCAGTTGTCATTTGATGTCAGAAACAAACCATTCCTCCCTAGATATGACCCCGCGCCTAAGGGTCGTTAACTCTTTTGACAGATGAACTCAAAGATCCACTCTGCCCCCACCAAATCTTTATGTGTGCTTTAGGTCGAGTACAATCCAGTTGCTCTTTCTCTAAGACACTCGAAATACTAGTTTGTTGACGGAAAGCCGGTTAATAAAATAAACTTGTGCCTATGCGAATCCGGAAGAATTGGAATCCCCTCTATTTGGAAAGAATGATTCTCAGACTCCAACCCACGACTATCACTTGAGCATATTGAACACTTGTCATTGTTCATATTCAAACATCATACTAACTACCTCCATTGCAAGAATTACATTCAAACATATGGCTCTGTTCTTTAGCTCTTCTCTTCACATAAACAGAAATGATACTATTATCATGTATAGGTTCTAATGGATAATTCTCATGCAGTGTGGAAGGAGTTAGAGAAGGAGAACAAGGAATTCTTTGAGGCATATGCTCAATCTCAGAGCAAAGAAGATCAAATGTCCGAGGCCGAGACGAGCGAGATGATTCAGAAGATGATATCTGATCATGAGCAATCAAAAGATCCCAAAGTGTAACACATGAACCAATTTGAAAACGATCTTACCTTTGAGTTGTGGTTGGCATGGAGCTGGGTTACAACTTAATGTTCTACACATCCAGCCGAACTCAAAGACACTATAGTACTATGTGGTCCCTATTCAGATGAATCTACGGATTGAGAGTACTATGTGGTCCCATCTGTGGTATATAAGTTTCATGCATTCACCAATTAAAGCATGCCAAATCAGCACTTGTATATGCATTATTCACAAATGAGCAGTGACCAAATCATCCCTTAGGATTGGTGGTTGGTTAATTGGGTGAATTGTAGAGGATGGTTTTAGCTGTGGAGGGGATAAGGCTCCTTTCCAGTGCTAAATGTCCTTAATTCCATAAGTTTTAGATTATGCTCAACTTTGAACTGTGTCGTTTTCATACTTACATGTTTATTTTAAAAAAGAGTTAATTAACTTTGAACTGTGTTGTTTTCATATTTTTATGTTTATTTTTTTAAATGATTTAATTGTGATCTTCTATCTAAATAGCTAATGGACAATAGTTTGTGTATTTTGATGATGGTTGTCACGTGTTCATTTTTTACTGAATAGTTGGATGAACGTTAAAGAAAAAATTATTTAAAAACAAAATTAAAAACTTTGAGAATCAAAACAATAGAAGTAGAAGATAAGGAATGAAAGTGAGACTAAAATATATTTTGAAAATTACTGATGTATTTTATTTTTCAAAAAATTTAAGTATCGAAAAGAAATGAATTTAATGTGGAGGGGTTTGTTTAAGTCATCTCATATGTGAATTTGGGTATTTTGTTTTCCTATTGTGCAGTTGAAGATGGCAATGTGACATTGAGTTTGTTGTTATTAATAAAACAAGTAAAAGGTGGGGGCTACACATTTGTTCATGTCGCACTCAATCACTTTTTTTTCTTACGAGGAAAACGTGGTATGTATGATAGTTGATGTTTTAGTGCCAATGAACGGTCTGAAATTAGGGGAATTTTATGGTGTCGAATTGAGAAAAAGTCGATATCATATCGAAAAGAGGGGGAGTCATGGTGAAAAAGTAAAAATAGAATGCAAAAAAAGAAAGGACGTTTGAATGATATTCAAAGAGAATTAAGATCAATCATAAGTTCTTTTGTGATCAATTTAATTTGAAAGTTGAATGTTTAATCATAACAATTTTACATCAAAAGATGGTAATTTTATCTCAAATTAATATTAAATTTTATTTATTTAATATTTATTTTGAACCGTTTATCTAATTTATATTTAAATTCATCAGTTTAAAATTTTATTTTATAAAATTGGCACTAAATTAACCTTCAATTTTATTTAATTAATATTCAATTCATTAAATTAACATCAAATTAACCTTTAATTTAATCAAATTAACATTCGAGTTTACTAATTTAAAATTTAATTTCTTCAATTTATTGTCAATTTGATAATAAATTGACCTTTAATTTCATCAATTTAGCATTAATTTTCACCAAATTAATATTTTATCAATTTACCTTTATCATTAGTTGAACCTTTAATTTTTTTTTTTTGGTAATATTTAATTTCATCAATTTATATTTCGAACAAAACAAATTGTTGAATGTCAATTTGATGTTAATTTGATGAATTTTAAATTTATGATTTTGAATATTAGTTTAATACAATTGAAGGTCAATTTAATGTTATTTTTGATGAATTGAGTGTTAATTGGATAAAATTAAAAATTAATTTCATAAAATTAAATTCTAGTCATGATCGGTCTTATCTAATTAGAACCACCAAAAATTTAGTTTTGAAGAATTTTTGGACCATCAAATGAGATCAATCTCATATAGTGATGAGCGATCCTAATTGAGTGGAATCACAAAAAAAAAAAAAATTTAGATCCATAAGAGACATTGAGATTGATCCTACATAATCATGATCAATCATGACTACTGAAATGAAGTTACATCTTAAAGGTAATATTATTACTTGCAAAGAAAAATTTATAATTCTTGAGATAAAATTATCACATTTTAAGGTAAAGTTGCTATCTTCAGAGGTAAGATTACAATAATTTATAGTTAAGATATAACCTGTAGAAATAAAGATACCACTTTTAGACGTGAGGTTATAACCTCCGGAAGGAAGGTTACAATCTTTTAAGGTAAAAGTATTATCTTTGGAAGTGAGGGTATAATCATTTGAGATTAAATTACAACCTGTAAAAATAAAATTATCTCCTTTAAACTTGAGGTACAAACTTTTTAAGTAAGATTACAATAATTGAAAGTAAAATTACTATCTTTAAAAATGAGGTTATAATCATTGGAGACTAAATTACGTTCTGTATGGATAAAGTTATCAACTTTAGAGGTTGATTACAATTTTTTGATGTGAGATTATAACCATTTATGATAAAATTATTACACTTGGATGTGAAATTACAATTATTTAAGATTATGTTACAAGCAATAAACGTAAAAATACCACCTCTAGATGTGAGTTGTGGTTACAATCTCTTCAGGTAGGTTTACAACCCTTTAAGATAATATTATTATATTTAAATATAAAATTAATATTACATTTAAAGATAAAATTATCACCATTATAGATAAAATAATAATCTTTAGAAAAAAAGTACAATTTTTAGGCAAAATTATTATCTTTAGTGAGTAATATGTAATAATAAAAATTGATAATCACACATTTTTTAGGGTATGATACTGACATCCGTACCAAAGCCTCTCCCCCGAAATTAATGCTCTAAGGAAATTATCGAAATACTCATAAGTTGGTCTGAATACCGCTAATCACGATACAACCAAAAAAAGATAAATTATATCTACCTCCCTTAAAGTTTGGTCAAATAACAATTAGACCATCTGTTGTACAGGAAATAACACTTATCTCCCTTGACAATAACAACCGTTTCAATTTTTTGAGTGGGAGAACCAAATGACTGTATTGCCCTTGACTACACCGTCCTCCCCATCTTTCCACGACAAACCTAAATTCATCTAAACAACCACCACTAGTCGCCAATACCTTTTACGAACCACCAAAAAACAACTCTACCCAAGCGTCACCACCTTCTGCAAACCACCAACCAAACTAACTTCAGCCCTTCGCCACCTTTCACAGTTATTGATGGGACATTTTCGGAATACTTCAAGATGAAGACACGTGTCCTCGGTGTCACTGATCCTTGTTATCGAGATCACGTACCCATCGGGTCACAGAGTCCCCTCCCCCCCGAGGTGCTGATCATGGGGATCGAGTGACATCCAGTACGTTTTTATATACCGACACGTACCCTCTGTCTGATATGGTACATCGGTCGCTAGGCTCTCCCTCTCGGCTCCGAGATGTTCTTCTTCCTCGGTACCGAGATGTACCCCCCCTCATCCAGGATGAAGTTCTTTGCTCTAGCAGAGGCTATTGATGCACATGTCACTAGCCTAGGCTAGGCTAGGTTAGCTATCATGACATCGTCTTACACAATTGGGTCAGAAGGCATAGCAAGGCAGGGGCCACAGCCAATGGGGAATGGACGCGTGGCATATTGTGTCACATCCGAGACAGAAAGACCGCATGCCCTTGCTGACACACGACTTGGGAAAACAAACATTTAATTACGTCATTCCCTTGATGAGACTGCATTCAATGCGGTAAGGCTCGGAATTGAAAGACAATAAATGTCTCTAAGGCTGGGCATTTATTGCGTCCTCCCTGAGAGGAGCTCATTGAACAGTCGGCAGCCCGATGACACAGTATTGATTGCTCGGGATCCCGAGCAGTTAAAAGAGAAGACATTCCTCATCAGAATCGGTGCACACACTGCCTGTGCCTAATGATCACCTACTGACTACACTGATAGCAATCATGAGTTTTTGAGGTATAAATACTCCTCGCAAAAGGCAAGACGGTATGCAACAAAAAACATTTGCTACAATACATACTCAGGGTTTTCTTCTTCCTCTCACTCTCAAAGACTGACTTGATTGTCGGAGGGGATACGCCGAAAAACACTCCGGCGCCCTTCTAACTTGTTTTTCTTTGTTCCAGGAACCTTTCTTCAGCCTTACTGGATCGTTCCTTTGATCCATGAGGGTCTCCCATTACAGTTCCAGGTTACCACCAGACCTCACATGTTGTTCCAAGCAGCGGGGTTGACCATTCGATTGACTCACTCGAGTTCACCAAGGGAGAGATTTGTTCTCGTTTTTATATTGTGCAAGATCCAGCACGCACAATCTGGCATCGTCTGTGGGAAACGACTAGTTTTCCTAGTTTTTTCTCTATAAAGAACAGTGACCATGGTGAACACTCGACAAAAAAGGAAAGGTCCCCACCAAAGAAGTCTCGAATTACAAGCTCCTTGTCATTATGGAGGGAGGGATCACACTGATGGGAATAAAAATGCCTCTACTCAGTCAAGAGGGGTTACCCCTCAAACTAGTATGTGAATCAGGTCAGGAGGATCAACCCCCTTGGCTCGTCAGCTGGCGGAGGTGATCGAAGAAAAGTTTGGCGATAGATTACGACAGCTGGAAAAAGATAACATAAATGTCCTAAGCCGGCTCAACGAATTCGCCGCCTCCGGCGAAGGGTCGAGGGACTCATTCCTTTCTCGTGGGTTCCCCGCCCGGGAGGCGGAAACGAAAGATCTAAGGAATCATTTAAACAACAAGGTAGAAAGCTGCAAGGCCCCAAGGCGACCGAGAGCCAACGAGCACCCTCCTAACGACCATTCAAGGAAGGCAAGACCATTAGCCCTAGACGACCTCCGGCGAGGATTGTCTAGACGGAGGAAGGGAGATGAGTCCGAGGAGGATTCTACCCTATCCACACGGCGCCTAAGAGATGAGGGGCCTATTGATGAACTCAAAAACTTCAAAAGACATCCCGTCAGGGAGGAAATTGATCTCAAAGCTCGGTTGGAATCCAGGAGAAAGAGTAAGGCTGTCCAGGATGAGGCCGAATAAGAGGTCATGCAAACACCCTTTACCAGGGAGATCGGAGAGATGGAG